TATATATATTTATATATATATATATATATATATATGTGTGTGTATGTGTGTGAAGCTACAATGGAACCACCAGAAGATGCCTCATGGAGAAGGGAAAAGCAGGATGGTAGTTAGCAGCTTACAGAAAAACCCAGTGTCAAAAAATACAAATAAAGAGCTGAAAGTCAGAATTGCTCTACTTTTGCTACTCAAGCTGTAATAATTTATTTTAAACATGAAGAATGGTGCAAGAATAAATCCTCTGTAATAAATAAATGAAAGAATATAAGAATTCTTCTAATTATTCTTAGAAGTATAAAAATATTTCTGTTGACATAAAATACAAAATGCACAGTTGTGATATCACATCTCATATTTTCTGTAGAAGCAAACCTTTCAAATTCTGTGTAATTACTGCATTAAATGCCGTTCTTTTAATAAATATATTAGAAACAGAAACATTAGCAGCTACTCACCGACTACAGCACAGAAGAGAGTCGCTGTTATTGCTGAGAGGAAGACAGCTGTGCAGCCTGGCATTCTTCATTGAGCCCTAAAGAGTGAAACCGCAGAACGAGAACATTTAACTACATCATTATTTACAACATTTATTAACTGAGACAATTAATTCATATCACAGCTCCAGTAGATAATCAAGCATTATATTATGTACTGCAGCTCAGATTATCTGTCACGGATTGCCGGGGCAAGCCGTGTGGAATGTAGGAAGGACCCAAAAGGCAGCAGCTCTGGTGCAGGTGAGTGTTTATTAACAGGGGTGGGTAAGTACAAACAGCGGTGGCGACAAAACATGAAACTGGAAACCTAAACTGGGTAAACTAATAAGGCAAACCAGAACGAGGATGCAGGGAGGTCCGGAGAAATACATATGGGAAGACGCAGGGAGACCAAGGGGAAACAACACAGACGAACCAGCAACTACCATAACAGAAGACATAACTTAAATACGCTCAGAGAACACAGGGAGATTACACACAGGTGGGGAACACAGGTGACACTGATAAACATAACGAGACAGGGCAGGAATGAACACAACGTGACGCATACTAACGAGAGACTGTCAAAGTAAAACAGGAAGTACACAGAGGTTCAGACAGGAGGAGAGAGAGCACGGGGAGAACACAGACATAACAGGCTGGGGGAAACATGGAATAAACACAAAGAGAGACGGGAGCTCATAAATACACAGAGGGGCACACAGGGGGTAAGAGTCACAAAGGGAAAACACTTAGGGAACACCACAACAGGACACCTCAGAAAACATGGCCTAAATAAGGAGCGAAAATACAAGGAACTAAGAATACTGGGCCAACATGGCCCAGGACCATGACATTATCAGCTGTTATCTGATAAATCTGATAAATTAATCGTGACAGGTGTATCCTTTGGAGAAACACGATAAATTAAATCCAGTTTCTTTATTCTTTTTTTTAATAGTAACTGCAAATGCAAATAAATGCACAGCGGAGTGAAGTCTAATGTGGATTTAGACGTTGTGTATTTATGCAGCAGCCCGACTCAAAACTAAATACAGTGAACAAGCATGCCTGACATGTTTATGATCTTAAGAGGAGGGCGCTGTTTTTATAATATTTCATTTAAAGCACACAAATGTCAGGAAAATCAGGAGTCTTCATAACACTGTATGATGCGGGAGGTTTTTGTACAAATGTACTCACTGCCGTGTCTTTCTTTCCAGTTTCGGACGCAGAAGCAGCGCATTCTCAACTAAAAAAAAAAAGCCCAAAAATGTTGTTTTCTCCGGATATCTTTGGTAGAATCCACATTCCTGCTCATCCAGAGCTCAGACTTTACGTCAAGTTGCACATGGCTCCAAACACGGAAGGAAACCCCCCTCAAAAAAAAAAAAAAAACCGGACGCGGGTTACTGATGAGAATAGAATGCCACTTCCTCGTTTCTCTATTGTTAGCTCAGCTGAACAGCAGTGCCCACGCTTTTACGAGTAAAGCAAACGTACGTTTAAGGAAACAACGATGAGACGTCTCATCGTTGTTTCCTTAAAAATGTTTATATTTGTGACAATATGTGAAAAATGTCCAACACACAAAATCAAACACGATCTTCACAGCTTTATAAACTTTATCTATTTAAACTGTATTAACTGAATTTTTCAAATATTTATTTAAATACGTTTAAGGTGCTACATTTACAGCATCCCTACATCAGCTCACCGTTATGCACTGCTACAGATTAACGGACCAACACATTATTTAAATCACCTTGTTCTCCTCATCCATTTCGCACACTTTCGGTTAAATAGCTACCCGGAACAGATGAGCGAACATATTGGAGCTGCAGACAGAGCAGCCCGATAATTTAGAGCAGCGGAGAGAAAAGCGAAATAATAGAAATAAAAAGTCATTTGTTCTAAATTGCTGCAGTAAGATCAGAATTACGTGGAGAATCAATTGCTTTCTTTATGCGTTTTTCAAATACGTGGGCTGTATTATTATTATTATTGTTAATAATAATAATAATAATAATAATAATAATAATAATAATAATAATAATAATTGTGTGTGGGTCGCAGGGGGAGGGGTAGCTACTGTTACCTGATTCAGAGCCGCGATTACAGTGGGCGAATGCATAAATAATCACGAACCACGGAATATCCCACCACCAGGGCACCCAGTCACCTCTACTTTAGGCCTTCAGATTCGTAGTAAAACATAACTCATTAATAGACTTGAAACGGGAAATCAAATACGTCATCTGTGGTTAACCCTACTGCACAAACACACCAGTAGCACGAACAGCCTCAATCAACCAAAAATAAATATGAATAAATAAATAAATACAATAAAATAGCGGCTACTGTTAAGCATATAATGTGAATGGCCACAACCAGTGTTAAAATAAAATATTCATTCTGCCTCATTTTACCCGGCCTAAAAGTCACATTTACACAGCATACAGCAGAGTCAAGTACACTTTGTAGCAAAGGCAGGACTGTGGATTTACTGCATAGTGGTAATATTAAACAGCTCAGCGGCAGTTCATAACAGGCCAAAGCGTTGGTGTCATGTGTGTGCTAGTTAAATACTCCAAATGTGACTTACTGGCACTCAAAAGTTTAGGTGCTATGTTTCCCCACTTTGGGCACTGATGTTCAAAGTGTAGAAAAATATTACGCCTCAGGAGTGAGAACGTGCTGGTCTGAGAGGTCATTCATCAGGGACATGTGTGTGAGTCATCATGGTTCAAAATGTTTTTAATCCACGTTGGGGAATGGCACAGGGATGAGGCCCACACAGGGACACTTGTAAGAATTTTCAGGGATTTGAAGCTCATTAATCTGGTGCTGTTCTGGTTGTGTTCTTTATTATAACATGGTAGTTAAAATGTCTGTGAAGGTTCTCAGTCATCCAGGTCATCGTAGTCAAAGGAGCTTGCAGAGAAAAGCGTCTGGACTTCTTTAAGTTGCTTGAAAACGTTTCACCTCTCATCCGAGAAGCTTCTCCAAAGCGACCTTTGACATTTGACCTTAGAACTGAAGAAGCTTCTCGGATGAGATGGTAGTTAAAAATAAATAAAAAAAATGTGTAGGCCTAATAGCTTTTGATAGGTATTGGCTTACAGCTCATTTTAAAAAATGCGACGTTGCACCAAGTTCATAAATCACACTTTTATTTCAAAAACGAAAGCCAGGGATAGTATTTAATGCACTTTGAGACCTTTGTATATGTTTGAATTTGGCAGTGGGTGTTGTGAAGTCCACCGTTTGCAACAGCACACTTAGCCTTTCATTTCACTGTGTCAATTCCACTGGAAACGTTGGTGCTTCTCTTTGTCAGAATAACTGTTCAGGCCAACAAGCAGAACAAGATAAGATAAGATAAGATAGAACTTTATTAATCCCTCGGGTGGGTTCCTCTGGGAAATTCGATTTTTTTTTTTTTTTTTTTAAGATAAGATAAGTCAAACAAGTTTCTCCTTGTGTGAGAGAGGAGACAGTTTCACTAATAAAATAGGTCATGCTGAGAAAGGATGTTGTTGAAGGAGTCAGTGTGGGATTAAAGGTTTCAGAGGAAGAAAAAAAAACCTCACACAACCTAAGTAACTTTAAGTGTTTTTTTAAATGTGTGTGTTCACATGATGCTGGTTTATGTTGCTGATTTTCATTTTTGTGTTGGTTTGTAGTTTTGTAGTCAGCCATCAGTGAGGTGTGAGCTGACAGGAGCTGTGTTTGTCACTGTGAGGAAGGGCGAGTCTGCTCTAACTGCTGCAACAGAAGAGTTTTAATAGAAATGCTGTTCTGCTCTGAGTCTGAGTCACAGTTTAACTTGAACTGTTGATCAATGAAGTGTCTCTGGTTACAGTCGAGGGCCACCATCAGCCTGCAGGCTGCACTTAGAGAGCTTTAACTGTTACAAATGTACAAAGAAAAAATAAATGTTGGTTTTAAATTTAGTTTTAAAATGAGTACGACCAATTCATTAAAAGTGCATAACTCGGCATTTTTTTAAATTCTTTTTTTATTAACATTTATTTATTGGTTTTAACCGGTTTTACATGGTGCACCGTGAAAATAAAAAAATAAAAACAAAGTAATAGTAATAATAATAATATTAAGATAGTCCACATGTTTTTGGATTTTTCCAACACATAGCAATACAGCGCTTGGCTTCCAAAAATCCAATCGTTAACAGAGCTCTATTGTTTGCAGCAGGTACAAAATTATCCAGGTATATATTTAAAATACATATTTTAAGATGAAGTGGAATCACATCACCAATAATTTGACTCAGATTTATTACGTACTGTACCTGAGGAACAAAAAGGACAAACACTTGCCTTCAATTAAGAAGTACATTCATACAGAGGTAATCTATGGAAACACACTAGTTCACCCTTTAGGAGGAATCAGTTCCTGTGAAACATTTCTGTAAGTCAACATCGTGGAGAATGAATGAAATGAGTTCTTCAGGTGACTCAGCAGATCCACACCAGCAAATGAAACTTCTGTGGTAGAAGAATCTGGAATTTTTTGATTTCCAATCCAGTTAAACTATTAAGGATTAAGCAACAGTGCTCATCTTTGCTCTTCTGAAATTTGCGTTAAACAACAACAAACATAAATTAGTAACAAAAATACAGCTGAGTAGAGGCTTTACAAACCACCAGCAGCCATAATGCTAAATTTTAATCTTCAAATTTCAACCTGCTTTTAACACATTAAAGTCCCACAGTCAATGCAGCCTGACTCAATCTGATTCTAAATGTTCAGCACACAGAGACACAGAGGTGCCGTTTAAAGTTTAGTGATAACCTGAGTCACTGATCATTTACAGTATTACAGAGTCTGGCAGTCTTTGCATGATGTCCACGTCACTGTAAGTTTCTAGCTGACTCTCAGGTGTGACAGGTGTGTCAGCAGGAAAGAGTAATAATAACCTGCATCCTGAGTTTTGTAGGGTTGTATTTTACACTGACCCTGGGTCAGTATAAGTATCATACAGTTTAAACGAAGCACTGAAACTTGCACATATTTATTACAGATGCACTGAAGCTAATCGAGATATTTGCTGTCAATCTGTGGCTGCAATTAAACACTTTACTGGAAACTTTATCAACTAGTAACTTCATCAGTCATGACAGAAGCTAATATTTCTGTGCTAACATCGTTTAAACAGTAACAGTTTTACTCCAATATAAGCTAACGTTTAAACTGTAGCTTTAAGCTAGCACCATAAAGACAGTAAAACACGTAATAATATCTACAAATGCATCTTAAAGCTGTTATATTAGCACTCGGTGTATTACTAACATAACCACATTAACATTACTGACACTCGCTGACTTTTAATGGTCATTCGATAAATGCTGTCCGTTTAAATGGTCTTCCCTGTACACACTGCATATCCACCGGATTCCAGCCAGAGTGGATTCTGGAGTCTTCCACGCTCCTGTTAGTGATCCTCCATCTGGATGGATGAGAACAACCTTCTGAACAATCTAGCAGGAGATGGCCCATATCTATGGGACTGATTTGTGCTAATAACGCCCATTGTATGGACTGATAACAGCCGAAGCGGGTGAATAAAGTCACCCAGTAGCTAGCTGTGGCATTACCCAGCATACACCACTCCCTCCATAAATGCAATAAACGATACAAAAGTAATAGCCTATAATTAATTTATCTGCTGTATCTGCTGTTTCTCAGGTAGTTGCTTATATTATATAATATATTGTGTTCTGTATACGTCACTACAATGTGATTTTTGGAAATATATAAATATACGGACAACCGGCTCTTCCGCGGAAATCTCTTGTCGTGAATAAACAACATTTAGGGAGCTCTATAGTATTCACTGAGAGGACCCACTACCTCGACGTGAGGGGGGTACCCTGCGTGTCGATAAGTGAAGCAGAGGGAGCCTGACCATGCGTCATACATTTGACGAGTTGGGAGTGAGGACGTGTTGGTCTATCTCTCACAAACATTCTCATACAGTAAGTGAAAAATAATCAGTAGTATATAGAATCATTCCGGCTTTTGATCAGCATCATGATGCATCTGACTGAGGTCGGGGATGGACAAATTTATCGAAGCTCATACTATGAACTCACACCGTCTTCTTCAGCGAGGCTGCAACAAAACAGACTGAGCATTTGCAGAAGTAACATAAAGAAAAGTGTAATGTCTCTAACAAAAAAGTAAAGCCCATTAAATACAGCTCCTCACACACTCACTGATGGCTCACTGTATAACAAGTGGTCCAGCTTCTACAGAGTGCCAGATAAACTACTTACCCACCAAAACTTTCAGGTTTACACTCGGAAACGTCACTGACAGCACTGGTCAAATCCAAAGTTTCTCACTTTCTATTGAAACTAATGAAAGTCTGCACAGTCATTTCTGTTCATGCTGCTTCTTTTCTCTTTATCAAAGACGGAAACCAGGGCGGAGACAACTTCCCCTTTTGGTAAACATATTTGGGTTGCGGGTTCTAAGATTACAGAAACACTTGAGCTGCCATTTTAGTGAGTGTTGACTCCCAGGTTTGTCAACACTCACTAGCAGTTGTAAGGTTTCCTACAACTGCTTTGACTGCACAGACTAGTTTGCAAAAACACCTTTGTTTTGTTTTATGTTGTAAGCATTAATTAATGTTGAATTAATGGTGATAATCAAAGATGAGAATTGTTAAAGGTTATACATAGACAATACATCTATATGCATCAGATAATAATTTTACTGCTGGAAAGTTTGGGCTTCACAATAAACACTCTAAAGCTCCATGTGCAACAGGTGGTGGTGGTGACCTTCGACTTTAAGGGAAGAGATTTCATTTATCAAGAGTTCATGTCAGCTGAGCAGTCTAGGAATTGCTCTGCTCTACTTGTTCATCATCTGTTGATCAGCTTGCCTCTACTTATACTGAGAGCAAACCTTCAGTCTTCACCTGAGCATTGCATGAACTGCTGTACTGAAAACTTCGAGCTGAAAGTCTGCTTCTTTGTTTCTTTCTTCAATTCAAATCGAATCGAATTGTGAATCAGAATCGAATCGATTCTAGAAATCAGTGACGACACCCAGCCCTACAGTGAAAGGTTATGCTCAAGCTAAGGCTTTTCTGCAGGAACACTTTGGAAATTATTGCAGCTGCCTACAAGGAAAAGGCATTGTCATGGGCCCCAGTTAAATCAGAGATTGCCACTTCAGGATTACGGTTTATTTCTTAGAGGACGCTGTAACACTATGAATGAAATGCAGTACTTATATGATTTGGATACACCAGCTAATATGTTACAATAATTAATAAGTCTTTGCTTAGGCTGCTGCCCCCGCGACCCGGCCTCGGATAAAGCGGATGAAGATGGATGGATGGATGGATAATTAATAAGTTGCTATAAGGGACCAGTGGAGGACTACAACCAGTGAAATAGAGAGATTCAATCAAACATTCACAATCAGTGACAATGTTCAATTTGTAGAGAGACAAGAAAAGATTCTAGCAGATCATATATTTGGAAGTATCCATCCATCTTCAGTCTCAAATAATAGTGTAAAACTAGCTACTTTGAGGTCTAGAACAAAGCAGTTTTTTTGTCATGGTCTGGGTGTGTAGCTGCAAAATTCCACTGGATGTCTGAGCTTCCCTGGTATCTGCCCATGAGCAGGGCCTACAGCCTCCCTCACCTGGAGCTGATGAAGGCAATTTGGCTGGAGATTTAAGGTCCTCGCTGACACTGCTTCCTCGCCAGTTCATCAACAACCCTATTTGCTCCCAGATATTCCACCGCGCTGACAACTCATCCTGGAAATCTGGTTCAACTGCCTGCTTTTTGGAATTATTTCTTTGCCTCACCTGCCTGCCCTCCTGCCCTCACATTACCACGGAACCTTCAACGCTCAGGACAGCCGACACATGCTACCAAACCCACCTGAACCACACCACCTCTCCTTCAACGGTTCTATCTCCCACCTGCACAGTAAGACAAAGAAATTCATAGCCTCCACTCTCTCCAGAAAACCTCACTAACTACCATTTTAACACCGCTCTCCTCTCTTCTAGTGCGTGCTCCTGTTGCTTTCTTGGACCTGTCACTCTGCTTTTCCTACTCTCTACATGCCCCGTTTATCAAGCCTTAAGTCGAGTGCCATAGTAAATGTTATTCTTATCCTGATTAATAAAATGCTGTTAAAACCTTTCCTTAGCCTCTGCTTTGGGTTCTCTGCACGTGGGTTTTGTTTTGGTACTCTCACTGTGACAGTGACAGTTTTGGTATTGATGTAACTGCTGTGTATTGGGCACATCAGCAAGGATTGTAGAAAATGTCTCTCATGCAAAGTGTGTTATTTGACACACTTGAAGCATTCATTTGTATGAATGCTTCATATTCATACAAAGGGGTGAAGAAACATAAATTAAGGGAAAAAATACTGTTCAGGAAATACTGTTCCTGAACGTAGTCATGATGAACAACTTGCTTTGGCCAGAGAAAACCAACATTTTATAAAGGTGGTCACAGATTCAATAACTCTTGTAAAAAGTCACTATCAGGTTGCATTGCCACTGAACAGGAGTCAGCAAAATATGTGAAAGAATCTAAAGATTGTTGAGCAACGTACTCAAAACCTAAAGAGCAGGGTTAAGAAAGATCCTTTATTTCAACAACAGTACACAGACCTTATGAATGACAAAATTTCCAAAGCATTTGCAGAAGTGCCTTTAGAAGAACTCACACATAGTGATGGGAGATCAGGATTTACTCCACACTTTGATGTGTATCACCCTCAGAAGGGTAAGATTTGTGTTGTGTTTGACTGTGAAGCATGATACATAGAATCCTTTGAAAGAGATGATGGTACTTCGAATGGGATTGACAGCCATTACTATGGTAAGTTGTATGGATTACATTTGGAAACAGGAGTTGCATATGGAGTTTCTGGAGACCTGGCTCTCACAACTCTTACCTTCTACAACCTGAACAGGAATGGTACTACTGCCAAGGCAGGGGAGCATGGCAGTTGGGCCATACTGTCGACACCAGAAAACCCGCTCTCCCTCAGTCTTACGGGACACAAAGGAGTGAGATTCCACTCCATCCTCCAACCAACAAATTTCATGTGTTCAGATGTTGTATTAACAGTGTCAAAACTATTATTCCTAAATTTAAAAAACCACATTTAAGATCTCACCATTCCCTTTGAAAATCATTAAAACCCATCTTCTAAAGCAGACGACATGTTTTAGGTGAGGAGACTTGCGACCAAGGAGGATCATGTAAGGAGAACAGGAGCTGTCTGATAACTCCTATGTCAAAAATGTGTTCAGGATGAAGGGTGGAACATTGGAGATGATGACTTTCTTTGTAGGATTTCCCAGCGAGAGAACAGTAGTTGGAGTGCTCTTAGTCACTACTCACTGAGCTGATGCACCTTATGCTGTTTACAAAGATGCACTAGCATGGTTCACAACCATGCTAGAGGTTAGTTAACCCCCACTTTTAACAGAAACCCTAATACCAAACAGAAAACAGTTTGAAACTATTCATTCATTCATCCACCACAAACGCTCAGACAGAGAGTTTGTGCAAATATAATTGGTCATCGTTGCTGTCATGAAACAGCTGGATGAAGAAAGTCAGTCATCTATCTACCAACTATGTAAGAAGAGACAATAGCAGTATGTATTTGATCTTTCTTATATTTTCTCCATTATAAAAATGGGCCATCCACAGAGTTAAAGTCAGCTCTAACATTTCAGACACAGTCTATGGTATTTGACTCTGTCTGAAAGTTGTTTGGTAAACACTTCTAGCTGCCCTGTCAGAGGGCATGACCTATCTTCTCACTTGAATACCGAGAAAGCCCTGGCATGCCAGTGACTGGGACTTCCTGGAATCACTAAGAGGAGGGACGTGCCACAGAGAAGGTGACTGGGTTTCTACGAGTTTTGAATCAAAATGAAAACCCCTCCGTTTCTAGCCTGATGTCTGCCAGTTAAAAGAAGAAATAACAGCAGTAAGTATTTTAACTGTTTTTATGGCTTACTGCATGCATGTGTTGCTTTGCATTTTTAAGTAAACGGTAAATGGTCTGAGTGTTTTTCAAAATAAAATATATGGCCGAATTATCATTAGCTGTGATATTTTTATTTAATAATTGTACCAGATAATGTTAATGTTCAATCCAGACTGTTGGCTTTGTTTGATTTCAGAGAGATAGTCCTACTCCTCTTCTCTTGTCTTTTTACTGTTATTTTATACAAAGCTGAACAAGTGATTATGTCATTTCTGATTTCACTGTAATGTGAGAACTCAGAGGCACATTTTATGAGTTACACTTTATATTTTGCTGTCACCAATGGAGAAAACTTGTGTTTCCCTTTGTCAGTCTCTGCATCCCTGAAATTAAACTTCTGCAGCAGAAAAGTGGCATGAAATTTTTTTTTTTACTCCATTAACAAATCACAAGGTTATTATAACAACTGTACCGTCTGAAGACTTTGTTTACAATACAAAACACCAACACATTAGCATGAAGGAACTGACTAGGGAGCAGCACTCTGTTGAGCTGGTCACCATAAACTCTGTAAACACTCAGTGCCCAGAACTAAAAATCTAACTAAATACAAGTTAATGTCTGGTTATTCTTCAAAGACTGTTTTATTCATTGCTCTGTTTAATGATTTGTAAGAAACAAAGGGGTGTCATAGTTTATGGGATGATCTGACCAAGTCCTGATGTGGAGGACCCAAATGAAGACACTTGGAGACAGTTTTATGTTCTTGGAGATAATTTTAAGCATGAAATATAAAAAGAACCAAAATCCACAACTTCCACAAACAAAACTGTAAAAGGCACAAGAAGCTTTATAACACTGGGGACATGAGATGGAAAGAAAAAAGACAAAGCAACACTGGCACAATATTTACACAGGAGGGAGATTTAGGGGAGTGGAGACAGCTGGGAAACAGAGCATGAACCAATTAAACATGATGAGGCAAACCAACCATATTCCATGAGACAAAGGACTATCAAAATAAAACAGTAAGCTATTAACACAGAGAGTAAGTAATAGGCTAAACAGACATGGGCCCAAGACAGAGTGGGAAGAGAAAACGATGAAACAGATGAACATATTGACAGGAAGAGAGACAACACATAGAGCAAGTAGTACAAACATATTAACTTCAATCAGACAGCCACAGAGACAAAATTAGGACAGACTGGACACGAAGGGAGCCAACATAAATAGAAAGGAACAAAGAACCATAAATAAAAAACTCAGGAAACAGACCATAAATCTTCTTATCATTTTACTTTTAAAGAAATATATAAACTCCAATGTCACGGGTTACATGTATCCCACCTAGTTAACTGTACATAAATGTATACTTCTTCCTCTTCCTCTCGCTATGTACAGAAGCGAGATACATATGCTGACTCTGACTATATGTCTATAGCTGGGAATGTGTCTTTTTATGTGTGTGTAGGCATGTGTGTGTGCGTGTATGTGTGTGTATGTGTGTGTATGTGTGTGTGTGTGTGTGTGTGTGTGTGATTGAAAAGAAAAGCCTTCGTTTACATACAAAAAAAAATCACCGTTTCCCTCTGGTG